ACTAAATTAGCCAGGTAACTTAAAAAAAGAGCATGCAACAGCTTCTCTGGACAAAAGTTAATGAACAACAATTAGTAGTACTGGCTATCGCCTGTTCTTCTGCACATGCTCTCTGTTGTGCACGATGCTGACTGTGCTGAGCGCATTGCCTGGACATGCCTTCACAGCAGTCAGAAAAAAGTGGGAGGGACTGGTCAAAGGGTGAGCCAGTGAGAATATAGATTATATATTAGACACAGCTACTCTTGAATTTTCACATATGAATCGAATAATGTATTTCAGCTGTGTCATGTAATGAAAATTGATTGTTTGCTTGCTTAACAAACCTTCTAATAAATAGACCGCATTTGTTAAAAAATAGCAGCCTTAGTTTTATTTAACTTAATATATGAAGTGAATTGAAGTTCCTGTGGAAGTTGGCACACAAAAGCCCCCCTTCTAACCTTTAACATCTTATCACTTTACTTTGTTGAGCCAGCTGAGGCTTTAAATGTTTTGGCTATCTTAAAAAAAAGTGCCGCTTTTTCCAGAAAGCCAGTCAAAAGGCTTCAGGATGGGTGGTGTGGCGTGGAAGAGGGAGGGGAGCAGACTGGGTGGGGGTGCAGACTGGGTGACCCCCATCGCAACCTATGACTCACGTGCAGAGGCGGAGACTCCGTACAGGATTTGCCACCGGAGAGCCGTCCCGTACTACTCACTGCTCGGACAGTTCAGTGCGCTCACAAAACTAATCTTACAAGCAAGAAGACATAAAAAAAACCTGTACAGTTCCTTTCGCTGGAGCCTCGTTTAAAATGTGAAGAGCATGGCCGGGACAAGGTAAGCGAACTCTTTCTTTAATTTCACAGCGGCGCGAAATGAAGTGGAGAAAGTTTAGAAGCAGCCGACGCTGAACCGGAGCCGCAGCTCGCGGGATAGTAACATTATTTTAAGGCTCTGTGGGTATTTTAAAACCTTTGAAAATAAAACATTTTTTTGTTAAATCACTACCAAAGTCTGTTAGGGGTGACTTCTAAGTTTAACAGATTATTTAAACCGCGAAATGTTCTTATTCTTTTTTTTATTTTCGATTTTAATTATTATCTATCGTCGGTGAGTTAAAAGTAAAACATTACACTGTAGCTCGCTAACGCCTATCATGGGAAGCTAGGTGGCAAAGGTTTGACACATCCGCCCAAAGTTTTTAATTGTAGGGAGAAGCTGCAGTGTGGGAGCTGTGGTGGGAGACGGAGGCTACTTCTTAATTCTATCTAGTCTCCAAATGGGCTTCACAGGCTTAGCTCTTTGCTGTGGTTTTAGGAGCCCGGTAACCCAAAAAGAGGGCAAATGTTCCACAGTCCATTTGTTGCTCCTGTTTCTACTACTGCTGTGGCTCTCAGATTCAGCTCCACGTGTCTTAATTTCTTCGCCATCTGTTTTCACTGCAGATGTGCATTAAAACTTTGTTTAGCTTTCATCGGTTGCTTGCTTTAGTCCCCACGGTCTATTTAAAGTCACTTACTGCTTTGGCTACAGATTTTCATATGTGAACTCCTTAGTGTTGTGATACATGCAGTAAAAAGTCTAATTCCTTGTCCTGTACCTGCTGTTGAGTGCAGTCCATTAGACAGTAGCTGACGAGCAAGTTTTCGAGTCAGCTGTCATTTATATAGCCTAAAGCTGTTTATTTTGGCAGGGCATGCCAACCTGACTTCCTGGGCGCAGCAGTTTTCACCATCTCCCTGCCCAGCTGGTGCTCATCTGATGACTTTTGTTTGCATTTGCTTGACGTTGGTGTAAATTTCTCTATCTGCTCAGCAAATTGCAAGAGATAGATGAGATACTATAACAGAGGACGGCGATGTCGTTTGGTCAAAGTTTCCATAGTTCATGAGTTTTTTCTGTGAGGTGTAGGAACCACAGTTGAAAATGAGGATGTTGTCTCGATGTTTACTCTGCAAGCTCACAACAGTGGGCAGACAATATAGAACAAGCAACACATCCCCTTCAACAAGAGGACTCAAAACGGTGCTTTCTGCAAAGAAGAGACCGGACGTCCATCCTAGACAGACAATAGGGAAGTTTGTTTGCCTGTTGACAGGAAGTGAAGCCTGTCCTGCACTGACGGCTGCATGTTATGAGTCATGGTATGTTAATAATCGCTGTGATTTCATTAGCTTCAACGTACACATTTCCAGCTTTCACTCCTTTCTCTGATCCCTTGAGAATCAGCGCTCTTAACACTCAGCACGCACTTTTCAGCTGACTTTGATTCTCTGTGGCCTGCCACAGTAACTTTGTAATGAGGTTAAGGTGATTTGTCCAAACAAATTTATCTGTACCTGAGCAACCACTGACACTGCGAACTGTGGGGATTACAGACAGGTTTAAATCGCAGGCATCCACCGGTTTGAACCAGATGCAGATCGTCACTCAGAATCCTTACGTGGCTTAATATCCTGTTGTACTTTTTAGGTCTATGACACAAATTCAAGAGTTAAAAGAGGTGAACAAGTTTATGTAACGTCAGTGAGCTAAGGTGTAAATGAAACCCACAAAGTGCAATTAACACACTGAACACAAAGAATCTGCCACGACCCGAAGATCTGTTGTTGTTAGTGAAATATTAATCCTTCCCTACACGTTGAGCCCCAGCGATGGCCTCTTAAATCATAATCCACTCCTCCCCTCAGGCCTGCGCGGGCCTGGCGTTAACATCTTCACTGGCCTGCTCTGCATTTCTAATCCTAGAGAGTCTGCCGTCTGCACCTTCACTTCCTCTAGAGGACAATCCGGACGTTCCTTTCCTGCGTGGCTCCTCGCTGACCCCCTTGCTTACCCCTGTAGCTGCGCTCTGGGATTAGACTCTGGCCTCGTTTGTCATGTCAGCAGGGGGAGGATTCGCGGGGGATGGTGTGGGCCTAGACCAAAATGAAGTTACAAACTGCTGCTGCTGGTGGTTGTAGGCAAGCAGGTCAGATACTAATAAAAACTGCTGTTTTGACAGCACCCAGATAGCACAGGTGGAATTCTTGAGTTTATTTTATATAAAAGGGGCGATGCACAATATGTATTCATCAGTAACCCTGAATGATTTTACAAGATAATGTTTAGAGAACGAATGTTTGTGGTTATTAAGCACAATTACCTCGTAATAGGGTCATTCTTTTTTTTGTGTGTGTATTTGGACAAGTAACCCCATTGTTCCCACTCTGACAGCTGGTGTGCTGATAGAAAGGCTATCTTCTATGTGGTAAACACCCTGATGCTGCAGCTTCTGTTGCACATGTTCGCTCTCGTCCAGAGTCTTATGTGACCTCAGAAGTACCCTTCAGGGGTGGGCAATTCCAGGCCCCGAGGGCCGGTGTCCTGCAGGTTTTAGATCTCACCTTGGGTCAACATACCTGAATCACATGATTAGTTCGTTACCAGGCCTCTGGAGAACTGCAGGAGCTAATTTAGCCATTTAAATCCGCTGTGTTTGTTCAAGGACACATCTAAAACCTGCAGGGACACCGGCCCTCGAGGCCTGGAGTTGCCCACCCCTGATCTAAGGGAAGGGTTGAAGTTTTTTTTAGGAAGGACAGGGACTTGTGTTTGGGCAGGCCGTACTCTCTCTAAAAGGGAGTTTATTGACCCTTTGGCTGAGTGTCACCTCGGACAGACAGTGAGTGTTCAGCAGAGCAGTAAGGGGCCGGAAGTTCCCGGCATTTCTGCTGAGCTGCAGCATTCGTGGGTGAAGGCAAGATGGTGGGACAAGACAATACTCCCCATAGAGAAATCAGAGTGCCGCTTCTCTGCATTTAGCTTGTAGGCGGATTTCAGCAAGGGTATCTGAAGTAACATTTAACAGCTAACACAAAAATGTTCTCCTGGAGCCGGTGGTGAGGTAGGCTTTTTTTTATCTCGTTCCTCATGAAGAATCGGTTTGTTGCAGTGTGGAGGGAGGTGAATGCTTTGGCATCTATATGGAATGAATTGGGGGGCCATGTAAAATTGGTAGTTGGAACGCAGCATGGGAAAAACTGGCCTTGCTGAAGGTTGGCTGTGTGACCTTGTGAGATCCAGTCTAATCCAGCGCCAGTAGAGAGGGGAAGCCGTTTCTAGTCATGGATTAGGGCAGCTGTTGAAGGAGGTCACCCCCAGATCTCCATGTCTCAAGCTCCGCCTCATCGCAGCACTTGTTGGCTGTGATCCCCTGTGTGGACGCAACAAAGAATTGAATGAAGTCTGCCTGTTGATCCGACAATACTCGGCATTGTTTTGTACTATTACAGGCTCCAGAATAGGGTGCATTTCACAGGCTTTGTAATGCATATGAAGCTGAGTCATTGCGGGACTTTCTTCTCAACTTTCTTGCTCTGTTCCCAAAGAGCCTGTGTGCTGTATACAGCTGTGGTAAAAAGACTTTTTTTTTTCAGACTCCTAAGTCAGATGAGTGTGTTTGTGCCCTCCAGTTTTACAAGCAGTCAACATCTTTTGTTTTTGTTTTAAAAAAAAAAAAAGGTCAGCTTTGCTCTTTTTTCCCCAATACCACCGTTTTAAAAGACCCATGTTCAGCTCAGTTCGTGCAGGGTGATCATGCTGCACACAGACCAAACTGGACCGTCTGGTTTGTGCAGTTGTACCTGAGTCATTGCAGTAACAGTAAGAAAGAAACGGCAGTCTGCTCTCAGGTGATACTAGACAATGAGGTTCTTGGAATTAGGTTTACTCACCCGGGCTGAGTGATGACAACATATAGTGGTTGAGAAGTCACTTTAAACAGAATGGTGCTGCTTTTGTTTACAGAAATGTAGAACGAAAGCAAAGTTAGGGTTTTAATTTCAGCTGTTGCTGTCCAGTTTGCTAACTTTTACTTTTGCAACAGGAACTATCAGCAACTTTCCTTTTACCTAGGCACGTATAAAGGATCTGTATACTTTTTTGGGAAGGCCTCCGGCCAACCCAAGTTGGTTGAACCCTGCAAGAACTTTTGGAAAGAAAACAAAAAAAAAGGGGCCGTCAAGAAGCCAAACCCCTGTTTATCTTCATCTTCCCATACCAGCCGTCTCCTCTCTCTGCCAGGCTTTAGCTGCCCGGCTGTTTGGTCTTAAGGTTCTTTACCTCTCTTCCCCTCATTGGCACCCGGCCTGCCTTGGTGCCTGGGTCAAGTCGTATAAGGTCGGCTCCAATGCATCTCACGTGTCCCTCTGTGAAAGATGACTCCCACATACCCCTCCAAACTTGTTTCCCCATGTCAGCACACGGCGAGTAAGAAAGTGACACTGACAACTGCTGCCAAGTTTAGGAGAAAAAGGGGAGCAGAGAGAAGATCTGGAATCTAAGCAGGATTTTAAAAGTCACAACCTTTTGATCATTTGAGTAGCCATAGTATAAACTTGGGGTTTATAGAGTGATGTGGTAATGTACACAGTACGCAGGAGAGAACTGGGTGGGTACTGTGGAGCCCTGTGGGTCCCCAGTACAAAAGACATCACAGTTAAAGTCGGTATAAGACGAGTTAAGAGCATCCTAAACCTTGGCATTAGCTTTAATGAGGGCTGCAGGAGCCTATTCCTCTCAAACAAACTGCCAAGTTGCTTGTTGTTATATATATATTCAGTGCACACAGAGAAATTGTGCCATGTGTTTTACTGACCTCTGACTTGTGGTGACACGGCAGGAACGGGAGGTGTTAAACAAAAGGCTGAAAGAATGTGTTAGTGACAGGTGCAGGACATTTTTTCTGTCATCTAAAACATGTGCACGCTCCCTTCTCCCTGTTATTGTTCTGGTTACCAGGGTGGAGTCTGCTCCCACATCCTCCACAATGGCTAGCCACGTACACCTTGCCACAGCTCAGTTTTCAACAATGGACGCTCAGTATACTTGTGATAAAGCTTAAAGTCAGATGCGTTAAATGATAATAATGTTGTTTTTTTGTTTGTTTGTTTTTGGGTTATTTGTTTGACCTGAGTTTTGTTGTAGCTGCACGTGTTTAAGTTGCTTCGTACGAGGAAAGTGGTACAGCACTCAACGTGCCCGGTTTATGGTTACGTTCTCTGTTAGTTACAGCTACTGGAAACCCAGCCAAGCTCTTAGCAGTCGGTCCATGTCGCTGCTGTTGTTTTACAATATTTAGATAAGCAGGTTGCCTAGCAGCATTGCTGAATAGACTTTGTACATGGTTTATACATAATCAAACAGAAGTCTTTTGGCAGGTCCCTCCATGCATTATATTGAGGTACAGGCCTCTGCTTGCTCTGTATCAGTAAATCACCAGAGATTTCTCACAGTTGCAAAATGTTTAATACTAACCCAATTCTGAAATAGTTTGGGAGTGTTTGTGAACTGTGAATAAAAAAAGAATGCAATGATATAAACCCATATTTTATTCACAATAAACCCCAAAACATTAAATGAACAGAAATGGCTCATTCTGAATTGGATGGGATGTCTCAAAAACTTGAGACATGGGATGGGAGGAAAAAGCTGAATACCTAACTGGAAACAACTGGAGCAACATTTTGTAACTAACCTGTTGCCAGTTAACATTATTAGGTATAAAATGTCCATCTTAGAGTTTCTCTGAAGTAAAGAATATTCGAGGCCAATTTACTGATGTGCCAAAAACATCTTGATGAACATCTTTTTCAGGCAACACTGCATATTTCAGCAAGGCGATGCTAAACTGCACACTGCACCTATTCCCACACAACTGCTTCATAGTAAAAAAGTCTGGGTGCTCCACTGGCCTGCCTGCACTCAAGACTTGTCACCACTTGAAAACATTTGTCACATTATGAAATGAAAAATATGAGTTTGTGCAGGTCAGACACAAAAGAAGACCACAGGACAGTTGAGCAGCTAGAAGCCTCAATCAGATAATGCGACATCTTTCCTCTCCCAAATGTCCAGCAGCTGGTCTCCTCAGTTCTCAAGACGGGGATATAACACAGTCCTAAACATGGCTTTGTCCTGATATCCTGAAATGAGTTGTTGCATTTTTCAAATGCTTTTTTAAAGGTGTCGGTTTCGATATTTAATGCTTTCTGTGGTCTATTGTGAATAAAATATGGGCCATGAGATTTGCAAATCATTGCGTTGTATTTTTATTTACATTTCATCCAGCCTCACAACATTTTCAGACTTAGGTTTATAGTTTTGGGTGTGTGCAGCCAAGTGATTTTGGATTTCTTCCTTTCTGCAGAGTGAGGACTTATTTTTATGCCAGTATCTGAGGAGAAAGGATGTTTTATGTCTCTAAATAGGAAAGAGCAGCTCTGTAAATATACCGGCAAGGGGGGACCTTGGCACTTGTTGCTGTGACCGGAGTGGTAAGGTTTCCTAGATGAATGGCAGGCCCTGTGCGAGAGCTCCGCCTGCTTCGGTCCACAAGGAACAGTCACAAGCAACAGCAGCTCAGAATAGTCGGTTGCTGAAAAAGGTTGGCGGTTACCTTTCAAGAGTACAGAGTGATAGATGGGAGCATAATTGTCTCACTGGGTTTAACTGTTATCTTAGTTTTGTCTAGTTTATGGACCAGTGATTTCACTAAAACCTTCACTTAGCACCGTGTTTCTGAAGGTGTGCTATCGCTCCATCAGGAATGCCACAATAGCACAGAAGCATAAAACAGCATTTCAGTCGTTATGAGATTATCTGATGACACAACGCTTAGTCTAAACTCTCCACCACCCAGGGAAAACAATCTTTTCTCCTTTCTATATGGTTTATCTTTCTGATGAAATCAACAACCAGTTTGAGTTTGTTTGAAACCCAAAGCTGCACAATGACACAGGGTTTGCTTGCTGCCCCATTTCCAGTGAATGCATTGTCCAGTCCTCTGTGTTTACCGCTGCTGGGAAAAGTGCCATTTACACTTTGGTGCTGCCTTTGAACAATGGGGCAGATTCCATGAGCTATATTCTGTTGTTTCCCTAACTCTGGGAAACCGCTCTCAGTTCTAGTTATTTTGGGAGATGACTGTAAATCGTGGATGATGGATGTAGTAGTTCTCCTTCAAAAAAAAAAAAGAAGCCACTGGCACTATGTGAATGTGAGCGACTTGATGGTCAAGAAGGTGTTTTCATGTTTCGGGTTTGGCCTCTTGGTCTCTGTGGTGGGCTATGTTTGCATAGTCTTTATTCACACTTTGACAAGTTTTATTCTTAGTTACTGTGGATAACCACAGGCTCCTGAAGGTTCTCCTAGACTCCTCATGGGAGACAGAGACCTTGTAATGTGTTATCACACATCGGAATATAAAGGATGAGGAATTTCATACTTGATTTTTCATATATTTTCACAAAACTTTCTGCCAATGGGCATCACGTGAAGAGGCAAACCGATGCAGTTTAAAAAGTCTATTTATGAGGAATAGAAGTTTCTTGAATGAGGGGTGAACCGTCTTTAAGAAACGTAAAAAGGTCCAGTCGCTTTCTTTCCAGGCACATTAGACTGTCCATGAACACTATTATTTATGTTGCAATCTGTAATCTAACCCCACCAAAAAGTGTTTACTGAATGCAGTCAACTCCTGGTTACAGAGTGCGCAAAGTCATAACACGGGCCTGTGGCATAAAGGTCTGCTTCAATTAGATTGAGTCTCCCCAGAGGTAAACCGGGTGCTGTATGCTTTAGTCATAGGTCCATGTGTGTAACAAGTTAATTTTAGATCAATATAAAACATTCCTCTTGGAGTTAAACTTCACTGAGCTTGTGCAGACTGCATTCCAAACCATTTATGAACATTTACAGCGTGAGGCAGATTGCCTCAGTTGTTTGGAGAGTCATGCTCTATACTTTTCTGTCTGCTTCTTCTGGAGAAAGACCACATAAAGCTGTGCAGGCTCAGATTGATTTACATGGCACCACATAAAGCAACTTTTCACCAGAAATGCGTATCAAAGAGGATCCTGTTAATGTTAGTTGGTCCACTTTTATTCATTTTTAAAGTTTTTCTTTGGTGCAAGTGAATAAATATTCATTTTCATTCATTTTAGTGAAAAATCAAAGTGTTTCGACCTCACTCCTGGTATGTCCCACTGAAGAAAAGTGCCATTGTATTAGGCAAACCCAGGTAATGGCTGTGTCTCTGTTTTCTGAGTGCTCCCCAAAATGATTTCAAAACCTGAACACGGCCCTTCTTCCTGCTTATCAGGTCGTGTCAACAGAGCACAGCAGGCTCGCTCTCAGCTCTGACTGCTGTTTATTTACCCAGAGGGAACAGTCCTTATGAAACAGCTACGCCCCGTGCTGCTTAACTTGTCATGTATGGTGTTCACAGTGCACCATGAAACCCTCGTGTCCTGTCAGGGTGTGTAGGATGCAGGCCATTATGCAAAATCCCATGCTGGTTACTTCACCGTCATCACAGCTGTGGTACACTGGGAGACAACCCCCCCCAACACACACACACACACACACACAAAATGCTGTGTCGGCTTACTTGATACTTAAAACTTAAAACGTGTTACTTGAAACTCAGCAGTTTGTAAGAAATTGTTTTATTTGGATTTGCATCCAAACACTCCATTTACAGAGAATAATGACAAACTGAATCACAGGGAATGCGGCATGGGAAGATCAGTTTCTCGGTTTGGGAACGCCTCTTTTGGAATACAGGCAGGAGCAGTGAAAGGATGAAGGCTCTGGTATGTGTGGGGTGGTATTGACTGTTTGGCCTCTGCTTTGAATGCCCTATTATTTGCAAGGCTTCCCGCCCATTAAGTGTTGTGGATCTCATCGCTCAGAAAATCATTTTGTAATACTAGCGTCTCGTTGTGGGAAGACACGCTGTAGTCAGTTCCCTGCTCTATACAGTCCTGTCTTTTTCCCTTTTTTTTGAGTTTCTGCTTGCTCTGATCTCAGGTAGAGTTAAAATGCTGTATAAATAGAACCTGCTTGTTGAGTGGACTAAGGTTAGCGCTGCTTGACTGCTGTGAAGGATTGGACCAGATGGTTTCCCAGCATAAAGCACTGGGACACATGGGTAGACAATATGTGGAAGGCTCCTATAGTCTCTCCATGCCCTTTCTATGTTTACCTGGCTGTTAAATCAAGATATGAAGAGCCTGTGGCTCCTTCTGGCAGCACATAAGAGAGTGATTGATACGTTACGCTTGATGAACAGGTACATCAATGTTAACAGGGAACAGCTGTTCGTCCCAGTGAGTTTCGGCCAACTGGGTGACATTGTAAATGTGGCAGAGCTTGCTGGCACCGTGCTCCTCTGTCTCTGTTTCTGAGACAGGGTTGCACACAGGGTTGTTTTGGCAGGCGCCTTGAAGCAAATGTGGATATTTGGTGAACATTGTAGGCAGTCTTATCCCTGCTAAGCTTCTTGCCTGCTCTGATCATCCCAGGTAGCCTGGATGGTGGAGTCGTACCTCTAACAGCCGTGACAGGGAGAAGAAAAGCTTTTCTATCCTAAGAAAGCTGGGAAAATGTCCAAGCCTCTACCAGATTGTTGTGACACTAATTCCTCCCCAACTGATACTTTGCTCTCAAAGATACTAGACTAGTGTTAGGTGGGACACTAAAGAATAGAAAAGACCTAACCTTGCCAGGACCCTCAAGTGCTCATTACAAGAAGAAAAAGGCGCCTTGTGAGTTTATTTTGAGTCCTTCCTTTGGCTCTCATCTAGACGTTTACTGTGATGCTGAACCTTGGTAACAGTCTCCTTGTGGCTGTTTGTAGCGTTCCTGTTCCCACATGGATTTGCTGACACAGTTAAGGTCTCCTTTGGGGAACTAGATCAAAGGAGACATAAACTAGCTCACTAAAGAATTGCATGACCTGGATATATAGAAACAGCAAGCTAAGGTCCGACTTATTTATAGACGCTGATTTTATGTAGGTAGCTACACCACATAACCTTAATGTAGCATGTTAATACTATTTCAGTGTCCCACTCGTTAACGTAGTGTCCTGTCATTTCACTGAAATTCAGTTCAGGGTCTCTGCATATGTAGTCTGTTTTCCTCTTAATCTGTACCCTTTTGCCTTATTACTTTATGCAAACAGTGCTGTCTTTTACTCTGATTCTCTCTCTCTCTCTCTGCCCCCTCCCTCTTCTCTGCACTGTCTCTGTTTTCGTTGTCTGTGTGTGTTGTGCTGAGCTGGCTGTTGTCAGTCTGTGATTGTAGTTGAGCTTTGTGGTTTTTGCGTTAGTAGCACTCGGAGCGTATGGTTCTCTTTGGGCCCTGCTGACTCCGTGCCTGGTGCCTCACTGAGTATGTCCACCTGTCTCCTTATTCGGGACATACATATTTGCGCCATCGCTTTTGCCGCTCCACTGCATAGAGATGACATCACCGCTAACACACACATACAGATGGATGCATGTAGGGAACAGGGACATTAACACAGTCTCCATATGGACAAGTGGGCAGGTTCGAGCCTCTCGTCTGTCAAACAGTGTGAGTTGTTTACTGCTTGTCGAGTTGATTAGTACTCAGGCATGTGGCCTCTAATATGTCCTCATATCCTGTAGGTGATCTGTTGCCATTTTAAGCATCTAATAACACTTTTTCTCCCTGTGCTTTTGTTTCTTTTCTTTTCAGCTGTGATTGGGTGGAGATCTTGGAGCCACGCTCCGGTGAGCGCATGTATGTGAATTTAACCACTGGCGAATGCGGCTGGGATCCTCCGCCTGGTGTTTCTGTCCGCCAGGCAGACGGCAACCAGTGGTGGGAGTTGTTTGACCCCCACAGTGGCCGCTTCTACTACTACAACTCCGCAGGACGCCGCACAGTCTGGCATCGACCCCAGGGAGCTGATATAGTGCCCCTCTCCCAGCTGCAGGCCATGAAACGATGCAGCGAGGCCAGGCAGGCTGGAGCGGGTGTGGATAGGCACCACCATGGGACCTCAGGGAGTGTCAGCAGCATAGGGAGCCAGGGGCGTTGCACCCCTCTACCTGAGCGGGACAGGGACAGCCCTCTCCCTCGAGCCTTGGAGTCCAACGACGAAACTGCCAACCCTGAGCTGGACCTGGCAGCAGACAGCAGATCTCAGGGAGATGGTAGCAGCACCGAACACAGCACAGATGGTGGTAAAGACCCACAGAGGTAAGCCTGACTAAACCTTAAGTAGCCTTCTACAGCATGTCTGGAAAGAGAATTGTGCTTAATCATTAGCGGCTCATATTACCCAGAGAAAAGTGGTGCAATGTGATAGCCATCGGTGCATGTGCCATACCCAATTGCAAAGGCTTTCAAACGGTTATGCTATGAGAACTTGCAGGATTATTTTGACTGTTGACCACTTGGGCTGGACTCAAACTGCTTTCTTGTTTTCAATCTCACTTATCTGAACATTCCATATGTCCCATGTTTCCATAGTATTGCCTGTGAACCATGCTCAGCCATTTCAGCAAATCGCTACCAAATGGGGAAAATGGTCAGTTATATTACAGAGCATGACATTTCCCCTCACGCTAGGGTTACTGGTGCAGAACGGGCCCTAACAGTAAGTCATTCAGAGACCCCGTCATGTGCTTCGCTTTGTGGCCTCATCCAAACCACCGTCTCTTCCCTCCAAGTTGGATTCCACACATGCCACTTCTGTTTCCCCTGGCACATGGCCACTGAGGCCATCTTAGTGTCCTTCTGTGCGCTCACCGCCACCCTGCTCCACTGCGCTCTGCTCCTCTCTGCCCCAGCCCTCATTTCATTTTCCTAAAACAAATTTCAGCCCCTGGTTATCATAGACTGTAACGCCTCTTACGTGCATGCATGAGAGGCATGTGAGAGAGTGTTGTCTGTGGTTAATAACAAGCAGAGCCACTATATTCGAACTGCGTGTAAGCAAGGTTGATCCTGCCGGGTTTCTGAGGCTGTGGCAGCTGTGGCTCTAGGCTCTGCTTCTGCCACACTTTTGCCTTCAGGAGTTTGCTCCTTTGACCCTTTAAGAGTAATTAAAGCTGGTGGGGAAACTAATTAGTTAAGCGTTGCTGCTGAACAGCAGTGCTGGTGGCCCCGTTGTTTTTGTGTGTGGGCAGTGTTAAAACTCCTCACAGGGTCCCACTCAGTGACTCAACCTTTCCCAGAACCCTCTCTGTCTTTCTTAAAACACTGGCCAGCTGTGTTCAGCCGAGTTAGGATCAGGAGTCTTTAGCTCACTGGGGATTGATACCCTACTTAGCCATATGGCCCATCACATGCTCACCAGCCTCTGTCTCTTAGCAGGTAATGAGAAACCACGACAAAAGACACAAAGAGGGTAGAATGTGACAACTCAAAATGAATAAAAACAAACTCGGAGAGACGCTTGTCTTCAATTAGCGGTGCACTTTATTAATAATGACATGAAGAAAGAGTGTGAGAAGAAGAGTTGGGGGAGTCACCGTGGTTTGAGTTGGGTTGGAGCCATGTCACAAAATTTTATACTGGATTTCAAGTATTTTGAAAACAAGATAATTGAGATAAAGTGATTATTGTACCACATTTATTTTCACAATGTGGCTTCTGTCCACAATCACAGATCTCCTCTGCTGGTCTCGTAACGTTTTTCCATTTATTTTCATATGAATTGTCTTTCAAGTTTAACCTCCTAAGACCCGAACTCTTCCACGACACACATTTTTAATTTCTCTTTGATATTTGGGCTGATTGGGGCCCGATGAATGTAAAAACAAAGAATTACCAGTTTTGTTTTGTTTTTTTACCTTATTTTTGTTTTTAAGAAAAATAAGAGCCACATCTGAGGATATTCGTTTAAAATGTTGATAGAACAGTAGCAGTATAATGTCCTCATAGGTGGATATCAGGCCCTTGCAGAGCAAAATTGAGTATTTTGGTCTAAATAAGCCAAAATGTGATGTCCACATATGTGGACGCCAGGTCCTAGGAGGTTAAGGAAATAAGCTCTTAAAAGTAATGTTTTTAAGCTCATTAAATGTATGAACCTCTGAAAGGGATTGGTAATTGTTTTAAATGTTGGCGTACATATTGAGCAAATCTGAATATTGTTTTTCACCATAAATGAGCAACCCAAAGTTTGAGCTTAGCTAGTTTATCTAACACCCATCTTTTTTTCTCCCTTTCTTGCCATTCTCCTTCCTGTCACAACTTGTCACTTTCCTAAGACAGCGCGTTCATTGCGTTAGGTCTGTTTTTGCATCATAGTTTTCTTCTTTTTCAGAGGGGTTTTAATTCACTTCTGACCTTTGAAAACAATGCTATACATTGCGGAGATGGGTCAGTTCCAGTTTTTCCACTGCTGGTGGGCTTTTGTTTTAAGCTATTAATAAATCTGTTCAAAATAGTTTTCAAACAACACACCCTCTACTATAATATTATTCCAGCCTGACAGATGCAGTTTCCTCTTACTGTGTAGCTCATATCTGTATTTGTCTTAGTTTGTGATTATAGGAAGTGAAAGCACATGAACTAACTACCTGCGTGCCCAATTTGTTACTCATTGGCGGAGTCTTATCACATGTCATGGGAATTTTTTTTAAAAGTGTTTTAGTCTAAAGCTCACCTGGGAAGTACCGAGCTCTTCAGAGATAAACATGCCAACTACTTTCAGTTATGGCCAGGAAGGCGTGACTAACTGATCTCTTTTCATGATGCAGCAGACAAAGGTGTCATATACCAGATGGCTTAAAACATCTGTCTTGAATTTCACTTAGCTGTTTATTGCATGTGCAGGTCTGTGCTGTCATTAACCAGGTAACATGTGTGGGAGATTTGCTCTAGAAAGTGTGTGTGACCTGAGTGTATGTGTGTGGGCTCCCTCCATGGAGGAGACCTGCTGAGGCTGAGAAGATGTTAGAAGTCTGCCGAGGACACGTGACAGCCAGACAACCCAGAAATGAACCGAGGTGGTTCACATCAGGGTCGCAGCACTCTCTTGCCTCTCGTGCCACCCTGGGGTGTATAATAGACCACTAATAGGAACAAAGGCTTTCACTTAAAACCCCGCTATCCCCTCAGAGTCAACTGAACGCTTTCTCTGAGCTGGAAGTGTAGGTATGCTGACTAGAGAAGAACGCCCAATAACTTGAATGTGCCCTCTCATTTAGCCCTGTAATGATATAGCGGTGCACCAGCAATTCAGTCAAAGCATGTCACGCTGACATTAGACACTTAAAAGTCGCCTTTCCTTGCTTTGGATTTGTGAAGATGCAGAAAAATGCCATTTTCTATCTGAGTACCAGAGTGTACGCAGTTATGTTCAAGCTTATACCAAAGCTTCTACACATCAAAGAGGAGTCGGCACAGCTGCTTTTACGAGTGTGGACTGACTTTACTTAAAGGGATGTTGGGTTTCTTGTAGTCTTGATTTATTTGCAGGAAGCCAGGGGACCAACTTTTAAAAATATTCCCCATGAACTGACGAGAAATGAAAAACAGAACTGGAAACGTTTTCTTTAAATTTCTCTTTCACTTTGTGTTGGGAATTTGTTGAAAGGGAATTTTTCAAAATTAACCACACACTCAAAAGCAAAAGCATAAAAAGGCTAAAAGCGCAACCGGCTTCCCCTCATATAGTTGTGACTCACTGGCAGTGAATCATGTGGGAGAAATCACCAGCGGGTTTATTTAGGAAATGAGGAGACGTCTTATAGGGTCGATAACATTTTTAAGTTTTTTAATGAGTCACACATTGTGTGCCTGTTGACTGCCAGAGCAGAAGCTCCTTATGCTTTTCATCTCCTGCCACTGTGAGGATGTAGCCACAACATACATACTGGACAGACTTGTTTCATCTCTACACTCGTGGTGTGGTAAGCTCTTTTTTTAAAGATTTTTGCAGATGGTGTTGTAAGTCTGCCTGTAACAATAAAGGTTTTCTGTCTTTTTTTCCACATCCACATAAAAGTAATACTGGGGGGAAAAAGGTTGAACTTGTAATCCTGTACTTTGGTCTGGTTAGCATTGACAGTGTGCTTGTTTAGTTTTATTCTACGCTCGTTCTCTTACGGTTTCCTTCTGTGTTTTCCATACGTTTATGGCTTTCTTGAACTAAATCACAGAGCTAGTCTTGTGTGTCTCGCTGGCACAGACAAAAGTCTCTCTTGCTCTGTTTGAGATATCGTTGAAGCTTTCCTTTTAATGATAACTTTCCTCTCGGGTTCTGTGATGGTATATTTTGACTGTTTTCATAAAGAACTCAAGGCAGCACATGTGAGCTGCTTCAGGCGTAATTCTGACTATCTCAGATTCTCAGATGACTTGAAATATCAAAGATGGGTTGTTGGGGTTTTTTTGCTTAAAGAGTTTTCACTATAGTACTTTATTTTATCACTCTGATCTTTTACTGTTAGAGACTGACTATGAAAGGGTCTGTGTGTGTGTTTAGATGTGTGAGCAGGCAGCTGTTTTAATAATGTTATACACGCTGTGCTATAATTTGACTCCTCCTCAGAAAAAGAGTCGCAGATATACTTTCAAATTCCTGGGGCGAGTCTCTCTGGAATTTACTTGGGTTTGGCCTTACACTTTCCCCTCAGTACGAATCTAGTGGTTGTCCTTTGACCTATCCCGGCACTCCCAATTAGTTCAGGCTTCGAGAGCCACAGACAGACACAGCTGGTAGGCGTCTTGGTTCATAGTAGGGACGTGCGTCACTTCAGCTGTTTCAGGACAACTGGGCTCTCTCAAGGTATCTTGTAGGAAGTGAAATGCTTAAAGCTTTGCTCTTCATGTGTGTTAATTTAATTATTTTTTTATATGATGGGCTATTCACAAGCGGGACGTAGAATGAGCTTTGAACCCTGACGTAGTGGATACAGCATTGTCCTCTGCGAATCTTTGTCTTTTTAGTTTCCTTCCTCCACGCAGATCGCAGTGATCCCATTGGTCTGTGCTCCGAGGTGTTTGTGTAGCAGAAGCTTGGCCTGTGCGACCTCATTTCCTCTTCCTGTCCAGCCAATGTTAATAATAACCCGTGTTTTTCAGACCCCCACTATTCTCAGGAGGAATATATAAGAACTTCCAAATCCATATCCGGCAAAATGACTCAGCTGATGGCTTTTCCAACAACTGTTAGTCTATGTTTAAAAGAAAAGAGAAATGGATCTCCTGACAGCCGCGTTCCCGTAGCAGCACAGAAGATCACAGGGACAATTGTTAGTATTCAGAAACGTGACAGGGGTGTCTTGGACTGTGTAGATGGGGGAGGCAAAAGAGCTGCTTACACTAATTCAAATTTGCTGATTTGTTTCCCAGGTCAGATTATGCAGTTGTTTTCACAAAGGCAGAATAAAATAACCTTGTGTTATTTTACATATCTCTGTCTTCTTGTAAGTCTCACATGCTAACTGATGGAAAGGCTTTCAAATGCATCCAGTAAGCTATTCATGTGTTAACATGTTGTTAACATGTGTCGCATGCAGCTATCTTTTGTGCCCAAGACGTAGCTGAAATGGAAATTCCCTGTTTGCAAACACCGGTAGATTCTGATAAATCTGGAGAGCTCTTACACTCCCAATGATGATGATAATGTCTTTCTAACAACTGTGATAAATTGCTGTGCATAATCCCCTCCTGCAGCTAATGTTCAGTTAACACCTGACCAGCAGGTTACCAGCAGGCAACACACCCTTTTTAAACAACTTTGATTGTTGTTCAAATGAGGTCCAGGCCTGTTTAGTGTTACGTAAGAGCCCGAATGACTCTAGAGGTGGAAGATGGGTCGTTGTCTTCCCCTTTCTTGATCTCAATGGCTGTCGTTGACAGAGGCGTTTCCCTGACGATGGCACAGCCATGCATTGTGTGAGGCTCCCCCACAATGCCACAAAGGCCCCTAAATGAGCCCTGAGGAATTCTAGCCTTCCCGCTCATTCCCTTGCTGCACTCTCCCACGACTAATCCCCACCCCTTCTCATTTACACATGCTCACACTATTCTCTCTTGGTCTGTTCAACCCTCAGCCATCACCAGCAAAAGTCTTCCCATTTAAGCCAGTTGTTGCTGGTGTAGCTTCTCACAGTTTTACTGTGTTTGTCTTTCATTTGGTTCAGATGTCATATTCATACTTTAGCTCACTAGAGCTATTTTGATATGCAAATGCTGGAGTTGTGTAATGAGATTAAGGGTTTTAAACAGAGATAGAAAGCACTGTACAGCTTTTCTATTGGAGTTTGAGCCTCCGCACGAACTTGATGGTTGTCGCACCGAACCCTGTTGGCATCTAACATAATGCGGCAGGGCAGCACACGTTGAATGTACTACACCTTTTTCTGAGCCTGGGTGGAATAATAGCAGGCAAATAAAAAAGAAAGAAGAGATTAGCCAAGAGAACTGATAGGTTTCGCTTTTATTTTTGTTGTTATTATTTTTATCTTGACAGTTGTTCACTTCTACAAACTGTCAGCAAGATTTTCCTAACAGGTTTTGTAGTTGTTTTAATCCACAAGGGAAAAGATGCTGCTGAAATAATCAGAGGTTGGTGTGTTTTATTGAATGTGTGGACACAGGAGTAGAGAAGGGTAATATTTTATTTGACATAAAGTTGGCTTTTGACCATGAAGATAAAGAAAAGTGTACAGGGCTGCTTAGGTCTAAAGATTATTTGGTTTCCATCTATAAAGTCAGACATATTAGAAAGTCTTTATAAGCCCTCTTCCGGCCTTGGCACAGCATGTGAACATTGCATTAGGCATTTCCTGTTTGTATTGTATATGGAGAAACCCTCTCTCCAAACCTCCCCAGGCAGGAAGTAGTGGTCACTACCATGTCAGAGTCATTCCTCATTAAGTTTGTGACGCTCCCAGAAGGAATACAGAAGACAGATTAATGTTTTAGACTGGTGTATATATGAAGACCAGTTGTGATAAAAGCTCTGTTTCATGTGTGAGAGGTGTTGCTACAGCATACCAGTGCTAAACAGTCACCTGTGTGTCACGTACTGAGGTGGCAATCGTTTTTGTGTCACCTCCCCCAGAGTGAGAAAACACGGGCTGTTTCAAAGAGCACACACAGGGGTTTCACATGTTTACAGCTGTCACCTAGTCACCACTGGGTGGTGTGGGGTGATTCTCACCCATCAGAGCCCGTCTTCACACGTGTCTGTCTGTGAGTCTTTTATTTAGGCTGTAAAGGGTCTCGATTGTTTTTGGGAAGGCAGAGGTCTTGTGGCGTTCCCTCCGTCAGTGCTTGGGTCGTGGGGGGCAGACACAGTTCTGGTGCTGGGGCCAGGTGGCTGAGTCCCAGCTGTTTACAGGCTCTGCACGCACGGTGAGTCTGTGGGACTGGTCAAAGATGAAAACAAGTTTATATTCAAAAGGCTGAGATGGTGTGACTCACACTATAGAGGAGGGTGGCACAGGGTCTAAAGAGAGAGAGGGCTGAGCTGTAGCTAGGAGAACTAAAGGAAGTTTGCCGTTGGCTGGAGGACCTCAGGGGAATCGTTTAAGTATTGTTCCAGAGTTGTGGGGTGGAGAGGGGGGGTCCCTCTGCCTCTTTCTCTCCTCCCTCTGCGTCCTCTTCCTGCCGTTACAGCCAGACTTTCTTCTGAGTCCCAGTACACTTGGAAAAGGGAAGCCATTGAACATTGGTTTTGTCTCTCCACTGATCTGCGTTTGTGTTGGATTTACCGGGACATAAGGCGATCAGCTTTGATGTAATCAATTACCCCGCTGAATCTTAAGTAGTGGTTAAAGGAAAGGAGGGTAAGTGTTCTTTGCCTACCTTTAAACTTATTTACCTCTTTGAACATTAATTAAGCAAGGAGATACTCTGAGCTTGTTTGTTTAGTGTTGCTACACGTGACTTCCTGGGACCAGGCACCGTCTGTGTCCAAGCATGCATGTATGTGCAACAGTGCCGGCTTTAGACGCTCACTGGTTTAAGAGGGCAAGTTTCTGATCAACTGTGGAATGAAAAGTCCTGATTACTGTGGAAGATTATGAGGCAGCAGCAGACCAGAACAGTGTGACCAGATTGATGGCAGATTGTTTTACATTGCTGGGATTAGCAGTGGGTCATTGGTTTATAAGTTAGCCTGGCCTCTCAGCCAAGTTCAACTTCAAGTAAGTTGCACTTTGAACCCGAGTCAAGATATCATCTGCTCACTGCTGCAATCCTGACTTTTCTCAGATCAACCTCTTTTCCCATGGTCACAGTTGCTTTTCTAGTGTTTCAAATGTGTTTCAAGACTTAAAAATATCAAATATTACACATAACTGAACTTACTATGTTCTCCAGACATCTGAGACAAGCGTGAGGAGGAATGGATGTGTTTCAGTGAAATATGTTCAGAGAGTCATTATTTTTAGCCTCTTTTGCTACAACACACACTAAAGTTATTGTCTCATGCTTTGGCATGGCTATTATGACTGCCAGACTAAAAATGGAGTTAAGTATTTGGAGGTCAGTGAAATGTTTGGAGAAGAATGTGTGGATTGCTGCAGATTTTTTTTCCCAGCCCTGTCAGCAGTGAATATTTCAGAGTAGAGGAAACCTAGCCAGTGGCTGTATGACTGCATACATATGATTACATGATTTTTACTGCCTCTTGATGTTTGGGTTTTTATTTAGACTTGATTATTTGTCTGATCTCATTGTGTGCATGTTTTCCCTTTTTCAGGGATATTTCTCAAAGATGGCAGCCAGCACCTGGTTCTAAGGCAGCCATGTTGGTGAAGGTGAACAGCATGAGCCGCACCCAGCCCAACCCAGCAATCCAGCAAAACCTCCAGCAAAATAAAGCCAATACCTTCACCCTCCACACCTCCTGCAACAAGGCCCAAGGGGGACAGTTCAGCTCTGCACAGGGATATAAAACAGCCCCTTCCGGCAAAATGACAGGTGACACACGTCAGGCCCATCACCTGAGAAAAGCCAGCAACGGCAGCTTTTGTTTGGTGACGTCAGACAGTAGCCATCCCAGTCCACTCCTTCACAGGTCACAGACGAGCACACCACGCCCCGTCTCTCCCCATTATGGCTCCACTGCTCCAATCTATGATGAGCCAGTTTCAGACTGCCCTATATATGATGAACCCCCCACAGACATGGAGGTGGAGGGGGCACACTTGTACAATGGACAACTTCTGTCTCGTTTGACACCTACCCATAGTCTCCAGAAACCCAGACTCCTCCAGCAACCTGCTTCATCTCATCCAGGGTCCAGACACAGGAGAAATCCTTCTGCTTCCGACTACAGCCCAGCTGGACTGGAGTGTATCAAGCACATGGTCAACGTGGACCCCAAACAGGGGCTTCTATCCAGCTCTCCTGTGCCCACACGTTCCCCTTCACCTACCTCCAGGCAAGACCCTGTATTGACGCAGCCTCAACCGTATCCACATCCCCACACTCACTCTTTACAGCAGGGTCGAGGTCAGTTAAGGGACAGGGAACCAGGAACACCAGGCCCAAGTTCACTGGACAAGAAACAAAGCTGGCGGGTCCTGGAGGCCACTGTGCAGCGCGCCATGGAGGCTCGGCACAGCAGGCAGAGCAGCCAGGCCTCTCAGGACTTCCCCTCCTCGACCCCGCAGGCCATAGCAAACTATCAAGACTCTGGTTACTCCACTGGCCCCTCGCCGAGTCTCAGGCGAAAGAGCAGGAGAAGAGTGGGAGCCGGTGGTGGTGCAGGAGGTAGGCCAGGGTCAGTAGGCAGCAGTGGGGAGCTGTGCGCCCTCAATGAGAGGTTGATGGCCGAAATGAGGGAGGTGGTAAGTCGCTCCAACACAATGAGAGAGGTGAGAGCAGGGCTGGAACCAGAGATGGGGGAGAGGGTTGTTGTAGCTCGGACACGCTCCCCCGCAGACTCACTTAGGTGGTACGGAGGAGGAGGGGGACGGGGGTCGGCAGGAAGGTGCGCATCTCGAGAGGACCTCACTGGGGGCCCCCGGACAATGAAAGGGGCAAGTACCTGTGACAACCCAGCCCTGACTCCTCTGGAAATGCCAGGGAGGCAGAAAAGAACTTATGAAAAGGTGGATACCTTGGAGTTGAGTGTCAATAGCCAGGCCAGCCTGTCGTCACCAGAGACCCCAGGACCACCCTCCCAGGTAACCCCCTTATGTTTCTGTGTGTATTTGTGGGTCTGTGGGTGGGTTGGTGAATGAGTGAGGCAAACAGCAAAAAGTTTATTTTGTTACAAACAACTACTTACGATTGTAAGATAAGAGCTCTTATCCAGTGTTTTGATACTTTCCTGTTTGATTAAGAGATCAACTGTTTTTGTGTGGTCTGTTTTCCTCAGCAGGTGTGCTTGGATTCAGCTTTGTTCTTTTTGAGCTCTGGTTACTGATATTTCTCCAGAATCATTATCTTAGGAGGAAAAATAAATCAGTTTCACTGTCAAATGAGCGTAAGACATGTCAGAATAAAGTATATGGGAATATTTAGCTGCTGCTTTTATATCATCAAGTTTGTATGTTCTGTGAGAGTTGTGAGTGACAGACAATTTTTTGCAGTAATATTCTTCTTTGCTATTAGATCCAGTTATATTTTTTTTAAACATAATTTGGTATTTTTTTATGATGAGGTCTTATGGCTTATTAAAAGGTATCCATAAAAAATTGCTGTGAAAATGGAAAAACAAATTTCTGACCTCTATTTGGACTAATGTAAGTAGCAGTCAGTTCCAAGGTCTGCTTCTTCTAATCAACAGACACACACCTCATGCATCCGTAAATGTTAAAATCTCTATATAAAGCCGTTTAAGTCCGCCTCTGCAAACCACAGTGATTAATGTTTGATGCAGCGGTTGCCTCTGGGATGAAAACAATAGGCCTAATCCGTTTCTTTGAGAAGAAATTAGAGGACTTTGTGAGTAATGCCTCTTACATTCCAGTCTTGAGTGCCTAAATGTCCCCAGGACATTTGACAGTGAGCAGGCTGAGCACCACTGACAATAATGGCCACAATCCCAGCAATAGCTGTCATCCTCTTACCACCGTCCATCTGCCCTGCCCTGCAGGTACTGTATACTCACATGCCAGCTCTGTGCTTGGGCATCTGGGGCCCATGCCAGGCCAGAAAGATTCAGGACATGGCTTCCCTTGGTCAGGAAGGAGAGCCACTGTGGCCCATATGGCCCATGTTTGGCAAGGAGTTAAGAGGCGGACGGGTACCACGGCTTATTGGTACCACTGTAGCTATAGCCTGCTTGACAACAGCCAAGGCCCCCTAAGTCTGTCCTGGAATGTTCTTCAGACCTGCTGTTATGTCACTCATAGATTATAGCTGGTTATGTGTGATTACAAAAACTCTACTCTAGAAAATGTAGTGCTAGAGTTCTTTTCTTACTGAAAAAGGTCTGTGACTCAGCCTTTTCAACGAATGCACTGGAACAATTTTTACAGAAAGAAATCATTTTCTGTTCCCACTGTTCCTTGTACTGATCCATCTGTTAACTAAACAGTTTAATTTACTAAAATGAGTCTTTTACATAGTAAAATGTATTCTCTACTTCATCAAGCATTCAATTTGTTCATTTCATCTAGTACTATTTTAAAGCTGTAGTGGATTCCTTTTAAAGCCAAATCACAGACCTGCTTTATTTGACTGAGAAACAAAAATCTGAAACCCAGCTTGTCTGGCACTCATCACTTCCATAGTACCGCACGGTCTCGTTAAAGACATGTCCATGCTTTTTAGGTCCCATTAGTAAATCTGAGCTTTGATTTTGGCTCAGGGTTTGTATTGTTCTTGGCTGTTTGGGGGATATACGTCGGTTACTGGATTCCTGTATTAAGAGAGCCAAGGTGCTCCTTTCACATTTACATGGCCACGAACTCAACCTCAGGGATCACAGGGAAGTCTTGTGCAGACAATAGATGTAACTCAGTTAGTGTTAAAAAAAGATTATTTTTTTGTTTGTTTTTTGGTGCCACTACGTGCTCACCTACTGTTCAGAACAGGGTTCATAAGGATTTGTGGAGATTTCTTCCTGTTTCAGGTCTTTGCTGGCATTAGGGAATAAATGTGGCAGTCCTGCTACAGTCCCCCCTCGAGTCCCAGCACTGCAGAGCCGAGCATAGTAGGCAGAAAGCAGCCTGCCTCTCAAAGGCTGCAGCTGCATGCACACAGTTTGCATATTTGCTGCACTCTTGCCTCACATACTCTCTCCTTTACTTCCTCTGTCCCATGTCCACCCCGTGTCCTCCCTGCAGGCCAGCACCCTAGAGCTGCAGGCTCAGTTGGAGAGCAGAAAGAAAGGCATGGTGGATGGACGGACTGCTTCCCTGGGCCCCCACCGCCCCACCAACCACGACAACGCAGAAGGAGGTGATGGTGCGGGTGGAAGAGTAGGAGGGTCTGCCTACCAACTCTCCTACGCCACCCTGCGGCAGCCCCCACCTCCTGACGTTGGCATGGAGGACTGGGCCAGCAAGCATCTCAACATGCACACACAAGGACTCTTCCGGCGCCGGGTCTCCATCGCCAACATGCTGTCTTGGAACCGCGGGTCCATCAAAAAGCCCATGCTCATCACCAGCAATCGCGCTGTCAGGAAGGAGGCCTGCGAGATGTTCAAGCTGGTCCAAGCTTACATGGGAGACAGGCCTTCACGTCTCGACCGCCGTCACTGCGCCCTGCTTATCATTACCAAGTGCTGGGACATGCCGGGGCTGCGGGACGAACTGTACGTGCAGTTGGTGAGGCAAACCACAGGCAACGCCAGCCCCAGAAGTTTGGCAGCAGGCTGGGAGCTGATGGCCGTCAGCTTGGCCTTCTTTGCCCCCTCCCCAAAGTTCCGCTGTTACCTGGAAGGCTACATACAGAGACACACGGAGCCAACCAGCGACAAGAAATGTGAGTCTCAGACTGAGCAGCAGGGTGGGTCACCTTTCTTTCTTCTGTACCTCCCTGTGTTGTCTGATTAAAGCAGTTCCTGGTTGTTGTTTTTTTAATAGTTCTCATGTGTTCCTCCTTCCCCTTCTGTTTCCCATTCGGATTATATTTCTGTTTTGTCCAAATGATCAAGTGTAGTATGATGAGGTGTGATCTTACTATTGGCTCTGTTTTTATCCAACTGATATTTATTTGACCTTTGCTATTGTGTGTGTTTCGTAGTGACCCAATTCATACTGGAACAACAGGAACTAAAGCTTAAGAAGAATTCAAAGTCCAGAAAGAAGCGAAAACAGAATACAGAGGAGGAAGAAGGTACATTTTTTTTGTTTATGTTCCTTTCAGTCCAACATATTACTTTTTGAAACAGTTTTTCCCACTTGGTCATGGTTATCTCTTGGACAGGGCGGGGGAATAAGTTTAAAGATGTTTTTCTACTCTCTTTAAAACATGTCTGGAGTGTAAGCAGAGCAAGCCATTACAAATCAAATATATCAGTCCCTGCAGAGTGACCGCTCTGAGTGGGATGGAAAATGCAGCACTGTGCAGTTTGTCGGTCGAGTACATACTGATGTACTTGCCGGCACCATGAATGGCTTCTTAGAGAGTTGAGCTGAAAAACAGTAGGATGAGAATTTCATGGGGCCCTGGACACAATTGGCCACACTGTGATTCGTATCAGCGGCCTCTCTCTCTCCCTGCCACTTGTTTGTCAGACGGCCTTTTAAGTGGATAGCTACTCATCAGCACGTGCCCTCATTAGATCAACCCACACTGCCAGCTCTGGTGATGATGTCACCAGAGAGGAACCCAATCTTTTCAACAACAGCGGCTACACGCTTTGTACTTCACTGACTCAGGGCTTTACGCTGGAAAACCTCCAGCTGACTAATGGGTCAAAGAGAAAGACCACTGAACCTCGCTGAGTAACTCTAATGGCCAAAAAGAATCCCGATGACCGCCAACAAGCAGAAAAACAGTATGAAGAAAGCTGCCGTTTGTGTGGCGGGTTACAGAGCTGGAACACGCACTTTTGTGTTTTGACTAGATCAACAAGCAGCTGTGAGCAGCAGGTGTGGGAGTCCAACATGGGAACTAAAGCTGAGGTCTGGCCTAGTGTGGCCTTGGAAACATCTACACGTTTGGAATCAGAAGTAGGGCTGTTTTCAGCCAGCACTTGGAGGAGCATTTTGCAAATAATGACCAAGACGAGACATAAGCCTTCTCTTTATTTTAATGACTCTGTTTTTGTTGTTGTTAAGTTTCCCTTCAGTCTATGTGTAGACAGGTGTCATGCCGTTCTCAGCCTGGTACGGTACACTCAAGCTCTTAATGAGCTCATATTTCTCCCGGGCTTTGGTTGCCTGGGTGTTGTGTTTTTCATGCCAGCAAGTCTGATGTAAATATAGACCACCGCTAGTGTTTAAACCCCTTCTTCTCACTGCAGTGCAGGGCTCTACACTCTTGCTTTTCTTCCTGTAAATGTTGGGAACCCTGATGTTGGGAACTGTTTGGGGTGGGGGGGGAAAGCCAATCTTTGCCAAGATCAAGGGCAAATTATTGGTATGATCTCGCTAATTAGACATAATTATAGTCAGATGTGGGCAGATTAGCAGAAGTTGCAAACTTGCATAGGAGTCACCTGTTTGCTATAAATCTGTAGACTCTTGGGATTTTTGGGAATGCACTGGAAAGTGTTACTTTTTAAATTATTGTCAGTAAATTTGTCCAGTCTGGGCCTGATTAAGGTTCTTGATAGAGTGAAGTGTGAATACAGCTCTAGAGCTTCAGAGTTTAAGTATTTATCACACTACACAAATATGTAGATATTTTTTTTTTTATGAGCTGAAAAGATGACTGAACAATCAGCGCTCTATTCTTTCGTGAACTCTAGGTGTAGAAAACTTCTAGGAAGATCAGGTTCTTTTTGAATCAGCTTTTTCTTTTAGGCATTTCTCATCCAGAATAGATCTGGATCCTGCTTTAGGGCAGGTAGCATACGGGAAGCCTTTGTGCTTCTTATTCACTCCAGAGGCCTTTATGTCTGTGTGTGCTGATGAATCACCTGAACGTTGGATGTGTGGGCTGGATCTTGACTCTGAGCTTTTGTTCAGCAGCAGTAAATCTTCCCTCAGCCTGACAGTTTAGCCGGGCCTGTTTTAATCCCCATATGCCAGAATTACACTGTCAACAAGTCTCTCCAATTACCAGTGCCTGCTTTGATACTCTATGTGACATCAGTGGGGAAAAACAGCTTGGGAAAGAATTTCAATCATTTATTATTTTGTGTGTTCAGTAATGCCTGACGCTTAAGGGGTTTACATATTGTTCCTTCTCCCACAGGCCTCCCTATCAGCACCTATGCCAAGTTCTGCCACCGGAAGCTGCAGAAGGTTGCAATCACCGGTGGCAAAAAGGTACGCTAGAAGAATAAAAAGAGCTATCAAGGTGTTTCAGTTCCACGTGATAAAAGTTCAGGCATATCAGTTTTAAAGGTCTGATGTGAATCATCTTAGATAGCGTCACAGAGAGAAACATAATTACAGGTATGCTTACAGTCACAGGTATAGACATAAACACAGACCCAGTCATTGTAGCACAGCTGTAGACACAACCATCATTAGTATCACGGCCCCTGATATACCCAGGTTGTAAATCCTCCCCCTGTGCTTCCTTCTCTCCCTCCAGGGTCTACGTAAGCCCACTTTGGAGGAGATCGACCACAGCAGACGGGCTATTGTCACTCCCTCCCTTTTCGGCAGTTCTCTGGAGGAGGTGATGGAGCGGCAGAGTGAACTCTTCCCAGACAGGAAACTGCCCTGGGTGCAGGTTCAGCTTTCCCAGTACGTTCTCGCTCTGGGCGGAGCTCAGACAGAGGGCATCTTCAGGTAAGACAGACCCAACTCAGTCAATGACATGCCTCAACTCGAGCAGCAACTGTGCAGTGTTGAAAATGAGAAGGGGATCTTATGTACCAATGTGCACATTGTGTTGTATGTATAGTGCATCTAAACGTATGTGTGTGGTCTCCTTTAGCCACGTATTTCTCAGCGCTCTCTCCTTGAGCACAGTACACAGAACAGACAGCAGAAAAAACACTCCCAGGACAAGCACTGTTTTGATTTGATACTTCATGATATGTGTTTACATTACAGCTTAAGCCTACAAGCATGTGGGAGCTTCACAGCCGAGTGTTTGTGTAGGGTTTTCTCCAGCAAAATGCAATCCTGTAGCATCTTGACTTGTTTAGAAAACGTTTGCTTTTCACTAAACATACTTTACGCGGATCTCTCTCTGTGAAACATCTACATAGGGAAATTCCTGAGGAGGGTGTTGTTTGGTTATATTGCTTATTCTGTTTTTGTGTTGTTTCATGCAACTACAGCAAACAAAGCAAGAGTCACCAGGCCACATTTGAGGAATGGGGTTTGCCACCAGGCATGAAGATTGTGCAGAGTAGAAGTAGAGGTCCCTCTTGTGGCTGCTGGTTGTAACTGTAGGGTTGCTTTTTATCCACAGGGTTCCTGGAGATATTGATGAAGTAAATGCACTGAAGCTCCAAGTAGACCAGTGGAGGATTCCAGAGAACCTCTCTGACCCCAATGTTCCTGGTGAGCACGGATTTTTAAATTTAAAGTATTTGATTGTTTTCTTCTTGAACTTTTTTCTTTATTAAAAAAATCTCTTGTCATGTCTCGTTCAGCCTCGCTGATGAAGCTATGGTATCGGGAGCTGGAAGAACCCCTCATCCCCATGAACTTCTACAAGCAGTGCGTCACTAACTGCGATGACCCAGTGTCGGCCATTGCCGTGGTGCAATCTCTGCCTGAGCTCAGCCGGCTCGTTCTCTGCTACTTCATCCACTTCCTGCAGGTAACCAATAAGCTGACAGATTCATAATCTTGTCACGCAGGCTCCTTAGTCATGGTGTAGTAAGTCAACACCATTGTGATTATATATAGACATGTTTTGTTCAAAACAAAAGATCAGTTAAAACTGAACTTTACACTAATAACAAAACTCGGAGGAAACGTCACGTAAACATTTAAGAGTGGTTACAGTTGTCTGTAAGTGAAAGCACCACTCATTCAAAAAGAGCTGCAATGCAGAAGTGAAAAAAAACAAAAACAATGATGAATCAAAAAGTAGAATGAACACAAAGTATTGACTTAAAAGGTGTAGGATGACTTGGGCTTAATTGAGCCTTCTTACAGAGCACTTTGTCATCAGCAGACCTTTTTAATGTAGTCCATCAGATTAAAAAACAAGACAAAAGAATAAATTCTTGAACAGTGTTAATCATACCTAGTTTTTGTTTATCGTCCTAATAGTAAACATTTTTATTATTTACAGTGAATTACACATTCTTAATCAAGTTTGCTTGTCCTTAATCATACATTAAAAAAAACTATTCCTCTTAGTTCAATGCTACACATTTACAAGTTGCTGAATCCTATCTCAGCTGTAGGGCGAGAGGCAGGGTACACCCTGAACAGGTCACCAGTCTATCACAGGGCTGATAGAAAAAGACCCACTTTGGAATAACCAGTTAGCAAAACAGAGTGTTGGTAAACTCTTAAAAATCTCATTGATTGATTTATAAAGTAATTATATAATAAAACTGTTGAGCAATTGACCTTTTTAAATAATTGAATATGACTCATGCATAAGTGACTGTAGGTTTAAGTTCAGACAGTTCACACACCTCCTGATTGCTTTTCCTCTCCTTCCTTCACTTTTATCTCCAGGTATTCGCTCAGCCATCCAATGTCGCAATTACCAAGATGGATGTGAACAACCTGGCCATGGTGATGGCTCCCAACTGCCTCCGATGCCAGTCCGACGACCCACGGATCATCTTCGAGAACACCCGCAAGGAGATGTCCTTCCTGAGAATGCTCATCGTTCACCTGGACACCAGTTTCATTGAAGGGGTGGTGTAGAGGTTGCAAAGCACAGAGAGTGCACCTCAGGGGCTGATCAGCCCTCAAACCTCTCCAGTTATACATTAGAAGCATGCAAAAATACTGTCTCTCTGTTCAGACCGCACTGGAAACTGTTGAGGTGAGATATTAAACTTCTTACAACACAAGGAGTGCGAAAACCGCTTTAGCTGGGACTTTGAGCCCTTGTGCTCTCCTGCTTTCTTACTGAAAGACGAACACACCACCTTAGGATTCACTGATTTTGATACTAAAATCCACAGTGACTGCTTACAAGTGGTTCACTTTAATGACTGTATTTTCTAACCGCTGCATGTGAAGAGGTTTACCTTTATTTCTTATCTAATTGGTAGTACTATAGTTACATGGGACAACTGGGCTGTGCAAAGTACAAAATTAGTTTCAGAAATTCCTTACTTGCACAAAAAAAACATAAGGCAGCAGTGTTAACGCGCTGCCTTTTTTTTTCTTTTTTCTCCTCTCCCCACCCCTCTGGTTGATTTCATTCAAGCGTGTGTGCGTGTGTGATTGTCAGCGTGTGAACAAAAGGCACAGCCTTCTATTATGTACAGAAAATTGAACATAAGAAATGTAAAAGAGATCTTGTAATGGCGTCTTGTTAATAAGCTTGCCTGTGCTGTTCTGAGTAGTCGTACTGATAGCCGGTCTCCTCGTATTTAATTTTACGAGGCATATAAAGCCACTCCACCGCAATTATTCTGACTACAGAGGCTTCATTTCAAAGCACAAACTAGAGGGATGTGCAGAAAGCTCTTGATAATGGATGGTGGCAATTTTCTAAGCAAATAAACATGGAACTACTTTGATTTTTCCAAATTCAAACGATTGCCGAAGCCAGGCAGGAGTGTTAATTCTAATTACAGCTCACGCTGTAACAACGTGGGAGGCTGGTCATTCAACTGATAATACACTCTCTATTATCTGTAACATAAATTTCAATTGGAATCAAGTTCTCTTGTGTTTGTGGTCCGTATGTTATGCTTTTTTTTGGCTCAGGTCTTACTATAAAACGGGTGTTAGATGTGAGAACTGTACATGGCCTCTCTCTTTCTCTCTCTCACAGACTGAAAATTTGATTAACCTAACACAAGCCTCCTTCGCTGAGAATGGAATATTGATTTAACTGTCAAGTGCTATGAGAATGTAAACTGAGCTTTTTTGTGGCCCTCTTTAAGGCTTTGTCGATGTAAATATTTTACATGTAAAATAGTAGTAACTTCCTGTAAGTGTATTCTAATGGTCTGGGTTATGGTTGAGCTTAACTGTTGCTGTAAAAGAGCAATAAAAAAAACTTTTGTGTTGTAATTAACTGATCATTTTTCTGCTGTAACCGCTCATCTTACGAACATAGGAATGATTCAAACCACTTTCCTTGTACATGCGTGTATGTGTGTTGGCATACTTTCTCATCGTAATAAGGAATGATTGTCCATGAATAAAGATTTGTTCAAAATTACTGTTGGATTCCTTAGTGTGTGCAATTTATTTGTATTTTGATTTTTTTTTGGTTTGGGGCAGTTTGCCTTTATTCTGGTAATAATAGTTTGAAAAAAAGTGTGGAAGAACACCAAGTAACAAAGTCCTCTGATACCTCTGTGCAGTGGCTTAAAACTGCACAGTTCAGCCTGTATTAAAGCGTTTCTTGAGAGGTTATGTTAAATCACTAATTTTCAATCCAATCCTTTACCTGACCATTTTCAAAGGAATGTTTTTGTTGTTTGTTAACAATGTCACATGAATCATTCACAGGTGTCACGACTCTGTGATAGGCCCCAAGCCAGATATTTTCTTGGGCCGTTGTCACCATGTGGGTGGCTGTGGCTCAGGAGGTAGAGCAGGTCATCTGCTAGTCAGGAAGTTGTTGGTTTGATCACTAGGTGCTCCAGTCTGAGTGCCCAAGTGTCCTTGGGCAAAATACAAAAGCAGAGTGCTTTCATTGGAGTGTGAAAGTTGCACAGAAAGCACTTAAATGTTAAAAAAAAGTGAATGTGTGCACTTTGAGTCCTCAAGCACAGTAATCTATGAATGGACACATTTATCTAAGCTTCTTCAGCTAGGCTACCACAAGCTAAAAACAGCTGTAACGCTCAAGAATGGAACAAATGAACCACAGGTCCTCAGACTGCATGGACGGGTCACCAAACCAAACCTTCACACTTATTTATAGAATTCTTCATTCAACAATTTGCAATAGACCAACTTCTGCATATCACACACACACACGAGAGTGGGAGTGGATGTTTTCATGTATGTGGAAACAAATATATCAGTCCTGTTAAGCTTTTTATTCTAAACATAATTTTAATACATAGATAATTGTTTAGGACCTTGGCTAAAAGAGTTCAGTCTGTACTGAAGAATCATGGTGATCATACCAAATATTGACTCTCAAGCCCATTAGACTTTTACATACTCAGTTTTTGCCTTATATACAGATTCTCTGTTTATGTTTCTTAATTTCAATAAATTACTGCACCTATTTTTATTTTCTAATTGTTTTTTCTTTCGTATAGACTAACATTTTATAATAAAATATTTTCTAATATTAAAATATAAAATGTTGAGCGTTTTTTTTATTTGATTTAAGGGATTAAACAATTTTTAACTACTAAAGTATACATTGATAGATCAGTTCAATGTAATTATATTGTTGCAATTTAAAATGTTAATGGATCTAACTCTCAAAAGCAGAAGTAATACGCCTTGACGTTTCGCAATCAGCCAGTGTGTCTTGCAGTGTGTTACACAATCACACCCAGAGAATGAGAATCCATTTTTCCTGTTTGTCCTTAGACTCACAAGGGAAAGAGTTAACAATCAGATATACCGGATTCCCTCCCCCCCCGACACACACATACACACACAAACACACACTTCTCCACAGTTGTCATTGCCTTCACTGTATATGTTCAAATATTTGTCATTTTTATGTTCATCACTACACAAACTTCACTCTGCTTCATCGGTCATTCTGGTGCAAAGCTGCTAGGGCAGCATAAACATTAAAGCAAGATAATAGGAGCTCTGGGCTTTGCCTTTGGGACTCGAACAAGTAAAAGAAAAGAGATCCAGGCGAACATACACCGGAGAGACACTCGTGTCCCCTGGGCATAGTCAGGGACTGAAAGCATCACTATTCTAAGATCAAAACAGCAACTTATTTAGGAAACATTAAACACAATTTAACATTATACATGGAACAGCTGTACTGAAAAGCCATTGAAATTCAGATTTTTTTGTGCTTGTATTTATGCCTGTGCCTGTATTTAGACTTTATTACGGATTTATACCGTACGTGACTTACATTTCTGATTTCATTTACTGTTTTTACATGTTTGTACATATTCATAGTTATTAATGTTTATAATAGATAAAGTTTGGCAAATTGCAGGTTATTAAATATTTAATGAATATTTATCTATACGCAATGAAATAGACTGTATGAGATGAAACGTCCTATTGATATTCACGAGGGATTTGGTCCGTTTAATGCGCATGCGCATCGCAGAAGCACACTGCCCGCGCCGGTGGTGAATGCAACGGGGAGAAATTTAACTGCGTGGTCTTGAGCTGACAGGCGGAGCCGGCAGTTCCTGTGCTTTTAAGCAGTTACACAGCAGATTATACATCGAACCGGACAAATAGTGACTGGTAAACAGGTAAGAAGCTTGAATATCCACACTTTGCATTCGACAGATTTAAATTCCAAGTAATATCGTTACCGAGGCCCGGTTGGTGGGTGCATCAACAGCGGTATGGTGCCGCATGTCGGCTTTTTGAGTTCAAAACAAACGTGACGAAGTAGGTAATAAAATGTTATACGAGTACATATCGGTTTTGTATTTGTTATATAGCAGGTGTGCTTTCAGGTCCTACGGTCTTTGTTACTCTGTGCTTTGAAATGTCTGTGGCTGTTTAGTTGGAGAAGTTTATACTCGGCATTTCCACGCCGCGCGCACACACAGCCAGAAAAGTATGAAAAAGTAGGCCTTCTGCGAGGCCGCGAACGGCTCTGTGAACGACAGCTGCTCGCCCAATCAAATGTAAGCGTCCCGCCTCCACAGCGCTTGTTCGACGAGTGTTATTTGTCAAAGGGTCTGACGTAGGTGTCAGTTACTTTCGCGCTCCGCCCTCCGGTTATAAAACACTGGACAATAACGCGTCTATAGTGGTAGAAGTGGTCAACAAAAGGAAATCTGGGAAATGTCGAGTCCTGTTAGTGTTTTTTCTCTTCAGCTTTCCCCCTTTTATTAAATTAGATAGAAAATATCGGTTGAACACTGTTAAATGTATTGGGTGGGCCGGTGGTAAAATACTATATGGGGTTCCGTTTTCCTCCGCATATTACAATGCGAAATGTGCTACTCCACACATAGTCTTAGCGGATAATTTTGAGATTAAAGTAATTTTTATCACCTGTTTCATGTGCCCTGATTGTGACATCTTAAGTCTCTTGTGCATCTTCTGTGTCCGTGTCGCTGCCGTCTGTGTAGCTCTCTGCACGCCAATAAACACCCGGTTTGATCTTAAATCCAGTATTTTTGCCGAGCAGACTATTGCTCGCCTCTTAATGTAGCGGGAATACCCTACGTGCAACCATAATGGTCTTTACCATTGTCTCCCATTGTGTCTATACGTGAAATCGACTGACCAAAAAAACACGTGGGCAGGGTAGTGTGAAGATATCCGGTTTGTAGGTTGCGCTGAAATCCGGAGTTACTCCCGACAGTCTCCGCTATGGTGAACCGATTAGGCTCCGTCGTGGACAAAAGTAAGACGCTGTGGTGCATGGTGTGAATTTTTAGTTGTTTAAATAAAAGGCGCCGGCATGTCAGTCTGTCCTGTGTACGTACGCACGACAAAAGAAACGATGTTATCGGGAGGATTTCGGTCTATTCCTCTGATCGACTCCAACGACATTCATTATTTTTTATTTGTATTTTTGTTATAGCTGAAATGGCGATCATCAGTGTTATTCTTTATCTGACAACGGCAGTTTAAGCAGAATGTGCTGTTAAATCAATCCCGTGTTAGCTCGGTGCAGAAATGTCTTCCTGCTGTAGTGGTGAATGCCTACAGTGAGCACATTATCTTTGTCATTCTTAAACCGTCTTTCGATGTGTGGTTGATAAGGATACACTGAAATCGCACTGTGATAAATTTGATTAAAACCGCTTAGGAGCCTGTGCGAGGACATTTGATTATTTTTATTTTTTAAAGACTCTTATTCTTTGAGGTAGTGTTTGCTGAACATCTGGTACTGGCTACATATTCACCACCATTTGAGGGGCATGGCTCACCTTAATATATCAGTATTTAATCTCTGCACACTGTGCCACACCATGTAACAACATTTGTAATCTGTAGCTTGTATAAGCCTACAGTGGTAGTATTTTTCCCTTGCTGGGTAGGGTTATTGTTCTGCTGGCACGAAGGGGGTGTCTTAGATTGGTATTCAGGTTTAAAGAGTCACTTGGTGAAATATTTAGGAAAGACCTCAGGCACACACAGAGTTGACTGCATTATTATCTGTAAAGACCTTGACGGTCGTGTGTGTGTGCACATGTGTATTGTGTCCCTTGTTCGGCACAATTTATATCTCATAGTTGCAAAACAGAGGTCATATGAGTGCAGATTCTTTTAATGGTTAATGTGTGTGTGTGTGTGCGCATACAGGAAGGGTGCCTTGATGTGGGCAGTATGAGTAAGACGCCCCCTAACAGAAGAGGGATAACATTTGAGGTGGGAGCTCAGCTTGAGGCTAGAGACAGCCTCAAAAACTGGTGAGTCATGGCCTCACTCATTCCTCTCTCATCCATTTTACTGTTCACTTCCCTCTCACACCTAAGTTTCCATTCCTTGTTTATTTTCGGGCCTGTATTACAGTAACAGTAGTAGTGTTTTAAAAATCTTGATGAGTGTCCTCAAGGTGTCCCTTAAGCTGTGAAAATCATGTAAAAACATGTTAAATTCTATTTAAAGGAATGATCCTTGTAAATGTGTGATAAGACTACATCATTAGAATACTGCCATTGCAAAGCGAAGTGGGAGCAGCCTTTTAAAATATAAATTGTCTTTTATAATAGACCTGCACTCCTTCTGACACAGTTATGTATAAATGCAGTTGATATTGTATACAACGGTTTAGTACTAAAGGTATAATTTAAAAAGGAAAACTAACTCCACTGCAGTAATGTGTAAATGCCCAGCACACCATCCACTAAGTACAGCTGTGCCACGGTTCATTGTTTTTTATGTGTTTTCATTTTTAAGCTTGATTTCATTCCTAAAGCCACCCTCATTATATGTTTGAGATAAATGATAAGTGCTTAAATCACTAGACCTGCCATTCATTCAGCCTTTCTATAAACTAGCCATTGAACTTCTTCCTGTAGGTATGCTGCCAACATTGAGAAGATTGACTATGACGATGAAAAAGTGTTGATCCATTACCGG